GGGGTGGGGGCCTGGGGAAGCCTGATGCTGTCCAGGAAGAAGAGGGCCTCATGGCAGTGACTTAAAGGATACGCTCTTAAGGTGTGCTTGAGGCTTCTCTTAAAAGGACCCCATGACTCACTTAAGTCAGGTTCTAGAACCTTACCAAGGATGGGGAACACGGGGCTGTCTCCCCTGTAGGACACAAACAAGGACTGCACAAATCTTTGCATGCAATTTGGCCTTCTAACAAGCGCATGGCCCCATGGGAAATGAGCTTGGCACTAAGACTGTCCTTCCTGTCACCTAGGCCCACATCCCAACGGGGTAACTCCAATCCAAGAACACACACACTCCCCTTGGAGTTGTGGTTGAATTCTAAGCCCTGCATAAGACCAAATCCAGGATCCAATCAGACAGGCTCGTTCCCTGGACTCCTCCACCGTGGGCTTCCTCTTGACAACCATGGAGCTGGGTACCCATTATCTCTGTTCCAGACCAGGTGGATGCAGGAGTGGCCTGCACAGCAGAGGGGGATTAGATGCAGCACTGCCATGGGGAGAAAGGAAGGACCCCAACTGCTGGTGTACTCCTTCACCCCTCAGACGGGCTGAGGCCGCCCGCCAACCCAGCCAGGACATGGTGGAGCTATGATGCTCCTTTCATGACCACTGATGGAAACAGAAGCAGCTAAGTCAAACAGAGCACACTAAGTCCTTTGTCTTCCTGCTGGTTGTTTACTTATTGGCACTGGGGACTCAATTCGGGGCCTTGGGCTTGTTGCTAGGCTCATGTTCTACCACTGAAGAACAACCCCATCACCTGTGTGTTGTTTTTGAGACAGGGTCTTATATAACCCAGGCCAGGCTGGCCTTGCACTGACCCTCTCCTATCTACCTTCAAAAGGCTGGTAGAAAAAAAAAAAAAAAAAAAACATCATTCCTGGGTTTGCTCCTTGGACAGGCTGTTAGCACAGGTCACAGCATCCTGCCCGAAAGGACGAAGGTGCTAGGACCAACTCCAGAAAAGAGCCCACATCCTTCAAGGGACAGTCTTCACCTGCCCATGCAGAGGCTTTCCGCCAATGACCTTAGGAGCTGCAACTGGCTGGTTGATCTGCTCCCTCCCAGTCCGATCCATCCGTTGAGTGGTCTTCCCTTTGACAGGTCTGAGACTCAGAGGACGAGCTGACCTGGAAGCCAGCTCCTTCCTGCACAGCTTTGCCAAGTGAATTATTGCTTCTGACATGTGTCTGCTGCAGTTAATTTTAAATAAGATGCAGAGTATTATTAAATGCATATTTTAATAAAGCCAATAGTTATTTTACTTATAGGAGCTTTAAAAGTAAGATACAAAATGTAGAGTTCCAGTTTGGAAGGTCACAACTATTCACATGATGTCCTGCTGATGCCAAGCAAGGCAGCCATGCTTTGGCCGTGCTGAGGACACTCTCACACGCACATACAGGCGCTCTGGCGAGACGCCTTTCTGCCAAGCACAGCACCTGGGATTACCAGTGTTCAGGGCAAGGCGGTGCTGGCAACAGCACCTATGTGGAGACTACACAAACCGCTTCACACGGTCTTACAGCCATGGAGACACAATGTCTTCCTTAATAGAGAAAAACAGACCAGAGATGACAGTTAGTATCACCTGTGCCAGGGCACAAGGAGAGACCTTGGCCCAGGGAGAGGTCTTCGGGAGGCACTATGAAAATGAGCGTACTGCAGTGGACTAGAACTCGAAACACAGGGCACTGTGGACACATTACTGAAGGAAATAGAAAGTTTTTTTTTACAAGTAAAACAGCCACAAGGAACTCTGAACAGATTAGTGTGCACACTGTGACAGCTAACACAGACAGCAACCACACAGGGCTGGTGTAAAGTACGTGCCTGGAAAACTCTTATGTACAAAATAGTTCTCTGTAAACATGGTGAGGCGAATATTCCGAACCCATGGGGAAGGATCGTCAGTACAGGCAGAAATGGCACCCGCCCCCACACAGCACAGATGACAACAGCTGGGGCCTCCAGCAGCCTGGAGACACAGTACTACACATGCAGGTGGCTGGGCTCAGACACCCGACAGGTCCTCTATAATATTCTTGTGTGTGAATGTGTGTGTGTGTGTGCATGTGTGTGGTGTGTATACGTAGATTCTTTTTGGTATTTTTAAATATAAATTTATCTGTAGAAAAATGAGAACATAAATGTGTTATTACAATCTTTGTTGGAAAAGCTTACATGGTGTTAGAAAGAATAAACCATTTATTAGTAGTTAACATATATTAAAATGGTTTAATGATTTAAGAAAATATAAAAAAAATTAATACTGTCAAACTTTCATACCAGAAAATATCATGGATTTTTCTCAATTAGACATTTTCAAAGATGAAATATGAAAATTTTAAATAAGTTTCATATAAAGAACTTTCCGCAACCTCAATTAATATATAGTGGGAAGTGTCTACTCTATATAGATATATTTATTATTATTCTCAATTGAAGCACCATTCAATTCTTCTGGATCCATTCTGGCTGGAAAATATCCCCAAATCTGTTTAATGGCACATGTTAACTAAAAGTGAGGTGGTTTTTTTGTTGTTGTTGACTAAACAAAGACTTTGAATTCCTGTCTACATCATAATTCTTTTGCCTGTTGAGCCAGCTTGCGAATGTCACTGTGGTTCTGAGTGTGGGGGTCTTGGTGCAGCCCCTCCCCACAGTTGCTTCCTTTGAGGAGCGCGGTGCTGCCTTGGTCATGGTGGAAGGATGGAGGGCAGCAGGTGCGGCTCCCCAATCCTGCTCCTGTAAACCCCATGAGCCTGCACCCCGGGCTGCTTCTGAGCAGAGGGGCTGCCCACCCCAGGAAGCCAGGTGGCCGCTCCTGATCACAATGTCTTGAATAAGCTGAAACGAAGACAGCGCTGAGCTAACCTCCAGCCAGGGTACCTGGGCTCTTAAGATAGCCAATGTGTTTTAGGCAGGAGACATTTTTAACTGAAAACCTACATGAGAAGTATCTATAAAACCAGTGATAGGAGTGGGTCCCACTCAGTGTGTTAAAGAGGAGAGTTTCAGAGAATGGTCAGTTTCGTTCTCAGCCTGCAGGCCTCATGCCTTTCCCACATGCAGGGCTGACAACCTTTGGACTGTGTTTTCCAAGAGTGGCCATTGGCCACCTGCACCAGGATTACCTGAGGTGCTTATTAAGCATGCAGATTGCCAGCAGCCCCCGTGTGTCAGAAATCTCCATTTTCAGCTATCTCCCAGGGGTCTGCTACCTTCAAAGTTTGAGAAATCAGGCTTTAAAGATTTGGAGCTGCCAATCACCTCTGACCCAAGGAACATTTCTGCCCCTGCGACAGAGGTGCACTGGTCCTTTTGGGGGCTAGTTATCAGCTACTCAGCCCTGGGGACACTGGCCCCAACAGCTTTGATGGGCAACAGGCGTGGTGTGGTTAGTACTGGGGCAGTCAGGCTGGTCTGCGCTCAGCCTTCCCAGGGAAGGCCTTGAAGCCCTTGGGTGCCGCCTTATGTGCTGGTGGAGGTGGGGGCTGGGGAGCTGTCTGCACATAGGTGAAGGAGGTGGTATTGCAGTCACTGGTTGCAGCCCCCCACACAGGGGACTGCAGCATCTGCATGGTGTCTGGCCACTGGCTGCCAGGGCTGGAGACTGGGGAAGGGGGGGCCGCGGGGCGGGGGAGCGGGGCGGGGTGCTGCCATGGGGCTTTGGGTGGCCACGTTTTGGTTTTGTTATCCTGGGGAACAGAAGACACTTCTTAGTGACGTATCTAGTGAGCTGTCATTGTGCCCCCAAGCCCCAACTCCCAGCTCTCCCAACCGTCTTTCTATCTAGGGGACAGGGTGACAGCACCAGCCTCCCATAGCCTGGTGCAGGGGACATTCTGATAGTGACATCAGCACTCAATGCCTGCACGATGCACACAACAGTCCGGTGGCCCAGCTGTGGAACTGAATCTGTATTTCTGGACATAGACACTCAGGTATGTGCACAACTTTCCCAGCCTGGGGACAGTTCCAGGGCCCCCCCACTCCTGCATTCACAGCCCTTACTTATACTGAACTGATCTGAGCAGAGGGTGTGGCAAGTGGCTCTCAGTTCAGTGATGAACAGTCTTAGAGCTTTCTCTATGAAAGACTGCAGCAGCCGAGGTGGTCCTAGCTCGCGAGAAGATGACCCACCACAAAGATGACCCCTTTTGGCCCACGGTCTTTACCGTGAGCTGGCTCACAGTACCTGGTTCCCATCCTCCACAGTGGTGAGGAGAGGCGGGCAGGGCAGTGTGCTGGTCTCCTGCTCTCCACTGCTGTGTTTCCTGAAAGAATTAAGAGCTCAGAGAATGACCACTTGGCTTCACTGTATGGCACACAGACAGATTAGTGATTGGTTGTGGTCTCCAGGTCCCCGGTCTAGGTGAGGAGGCCTTGGTCCACCAAGGTCAGTGGGACATGGGAGCTGGCACGCCTATAAGGCCCTTGCAGGAAGTGGGCAGGAGTTGCAGCCAGCATAGGGAGGGCACTGGCTGTTTCCTACAACTTTCTGAGTTAATCCCCTTTGGCTTCTCATTAATTTACTCAATAGTTACTTAAAATGTTTAACATGTGCTAGATATGTTTGGGACTTAAAAAAATATGTATGAAACTGTCAATGAATAAAATATTCTAGAAAAATAAAAACCATGCGAGCTTTACATTGCTGATAAAGGGGGCAAGAAACAGCAGATCTGAGCCAAAACTCCTCTGACAGGTACAGACGCCACAGGGGTGACTTCCTTCTCTCACACAGACTGCTGCTAGAGCGCCCACCAGCCCATCACAGAGCTTGCAACCGCAGGCCAGCCTCTTCCTCATGGAAGACACACCCTGAAAGTATCTCCAAAGGCCTTTGCTTTCCACCTGTCACAGGGCAAGCTGGCAGGCACAACGCTTCTGGCTTTCCCAGCGACAGAGCTGGTTCAGCCATTTCCTTACCTTCTCTGTTTGACAGCAGCAACGAGGTCAGGCCCTGAAAACATGGAGAACAGGCTGTCCCCATTGGCTGAAGAGGCCTCATCACTGGAGCTGGTGGAGTCTCCCTGAGCACCTGCCCAGCCTCTGTGCAGGCTGTCCCTGAGAGTGGAGAGACACTGGTCACTTACTACTGTCACTCCCTGCCAAAACTTGCCATGCCTTCCCTTTCTCTTCAAAAGTAATAGTGCCCTCACTCCCTTTTGTTTCTCAGAAGCCTGTGGCTGGTATGCGAGTGGCTTTAGAGAAAAGTAAAGTGGGGTTGCTTTCACTGTCCAGACTAACTAACAGGAAGCAATGAGACACAAATTCATAGTTCTTACACACCTGTTTATTTGTGCCTGTATGAGTGTATGTGGACCACCTGTGTGCAGGTGCCCCCAGAGGCCAGAAGAAGAGGGGGTCAGCTCCGCTGAACTGAAGTTATAAACAGTTGTGAGCTACCACACGGATGCTAGGAGCTGTTTGGGCCCTCTGCAAAATCAGTAAGTGCTCTTAAGTCGCTGGGCCCATATTATTCACCCCTCTGAAATAAGGTTTCTCTAGGTAACTCAGGCTGGCCTCCAACTTGCTACTATGTAGCCCATGCTACCGGGAACTCCAGACAGTTGTTCTGTGTCTCTGTGTCTACCTCCCACACGCTGCGATCATGGGGGTGGGACAGGGGTTTTTCAATGCACTAGAACTGGAGCCTATTCTTTGGTTTTTGCTGTGCAGGGATTGAGCTCAGGCCCCTGCACATGCTGGGTAAGCACTCCACCAAAGAGCCATTACACCCCAGGCCATCTTTGCCTTCTGTGGGCTATAATAACTGCATTCTACAACCTCATGGGTTGCACACCCAGAAAGGCCACATGAAACACCATTAAATAAGATCCCTGCTCTAAGAGGAAAAGGCCCCTTTGTTTTCTATTGCTTTACTCCTAAGTAATTACAATTTTTCAGAGATAAAATATTTTAATTTAAAAAAATATTTAAAAATCTCCTGCCGAGCAGGGCGTTGGTGGCTCACACCTTTAATCCCAGCACCCGGGAGGCAGAGGCAGGAGGATCTCTGTGAGTTCGAGACCAACCTGGTCTATAAGAGCTAGTTCCAGGACAGCCTCCAAAACCACAGAGAAACCCTGTCTCGAAAAACCAAAAATAAATAAATACTAAAAATCTCGTGTATGTGCACTGCATTTATAAGAGGCTATCTTCAAGCACTCACTCATAGCAGAGTGTATTTCTGTGGATACATCATACCCCTTGGCATCCTATATTAGGATCTGACCCCATGAAGCAACATCACACTTTCACTGTCCAGTAAACAGGAATGAAAACCAGTGAGCCCCCCACTGCCCCCTTAACTAAGGCTGCAAGGGGCATCCAGATCCCAAATTGGCTTCCTTCCTTTCTGCAGAACTCACCCTTCTGCGAAGAACTCTGGCAAAGGCCAGGTCCGATGGGCATCGTCCATGGGCGGCCAGTTGCCCCGGGGGTTGCCTGGCCGGCGGCCATGCTGGGGTTGCCTCTTCTGCTGCATTGCCTGGCTCACTCCTGCTACATAGCGTGCAAACTCTGGGTCTGAGCCCACTGTGTTGAGACAAAGGAAAAATCGGGATTTAAGGCCAAACTGGCCTCTTCCCTTTTTCCCCTCTAAGAATGAGCTGGTGGTACACACGGGAAAGTTGGAAAGAACCTGGCAGGGAACTGGTAACTGTTTGGCTGCAGGCTATGGCCACGCCCTGCAGAAACATGGCGCTTAGATCACATAGGTTTGAGGGTGGGGTTGGCGTGTGGGGCTGTCAGCAGGACATATGCCTAGGCTGGCTGTTAAGAGGACAGAAGACAAAACTCCAAACTTTCCACAGCTACTTTTGTTTTTGCTTCTTGAGAAAAGGTTTTACTATGGGCCAGGCTGGCCTTGAACTCACAGAGATCCTCCTGACTCTGCCTCCTAGGTGCTGGGATCAAAGGCGTGCACCTCTCAGCCCAGCTCCAAAGCTAAATTTTTAACACAAATAGGAATTTTTAAAAAATGTTTAAGGGGCTGGAAAGATGGCTGAGCAGTTAAAGAGTACTTGTTGCTTTTGTGGGAGGCCTGAGTTCAATTCCTAGCACCCACATGATGACTTACAACCACCCATAATTCCAGGCACTCATGTGGTGGACATTCATATACGTAACAATCTAAACATTATTTTTCAAAAATTTGTGTGTATGGGGCTGGAGAAATGGCTCCTTGTTGCAGCTGGGCGTTGGTAATGCACGCCTTTAATCCCAGCACTCTGGAGACAGAGGCAGGTTCTGTGAGTTCGAGGCCAGCCTGGTCTACAAAGTGAGTGCCAGGATAGGCTCCAAAACTACACAGAGAAACCCTGTCTCGAAAAACAAAACAACAAAACAGAAACAAAACTGGGGTTCTTGCCAGGCGTTGGTGGCCACACCTTTAAAACCCAGCACTCAGGAGGCAGAGGCAGGCAACCTCCTGTGAACTGAAGGTCAGCCTCGTTAGTCTACAGAGCAAGTTCCAGGACAACCAAGGCTACACAGAGAAACCCTGTTTACAAAGACAGAAAGAAAAGAAAAGGCAAAAGATGGGGACTCTGAAGCTGGATAAGGTGCTCCCTTACCTTCTCAGCCACTTCCCCGGTGTGCTCCCCATGCCTACATAATCTCCCCTGCACCTGCCTCCCGACAGTGATAAGACCCTAGGGTCGGCTGGCTGG